CCCCCCCCCCCTCCTCTCCCTCGGTATACATGTATATACATATCGAGGCTATTTAGATTTTACCGTAAGGGCCAATCTAATGACCCATCACGTGACCCTTAGAACCACTTTGCCTTGTTAATTCAATGTTTCAAATTGCCCATTTGCTGTCATGACAAATCATTGAGATAATTCTTTAAAGTGGGAAATATAAAGAAGAAGAAGAGAGGATCTAGCAGAAGTAAGGAATTTAAGCATCGCACCAAAATTCGAACTTGGGTAAACATACTTAATGGACGCAAATCCCGGACTTTTTGAAATTCAAATTTCATTATTTTCTTCTGTGATGTTGAGTAACAATTGGTGTCAAGTGGAGCCTACGCCAACAATTTAGTAAACTTCAGGTGAGCGCCCATGTATATTTCGAATGGTAACTAAAACCCATATTCTTTTTGGACCTTTCCATCTCTCCAAACTGCGAATTAATTATTACAATACGATACTACGTAACTAAGTCACATTAATACTTGCGTCTCTTTCCTTCATTTTTCAAGTGATTTCGGGGTGTATCTGTGTGTGTGTGTGTGCTAATACCCCCCCCCCCTCCTTTCAACTACTCGACATTACCTACATTCTAATGATTTCTGTGTGCGTGTGCTACGTCGTTAGATTGTTAGCCCTCACGTTCTATCACTTCTTCATGCACACCCTACCCTTGCGGTTGTCGTCGTCCCTTGACTTGTGATAAAATGTCAACGATATCACTCGTCTCACCCTCCCTCCCCCCTTCACATCACCACCCCATCCCTATCCGGTCATAAAATTTGCTCTCGAGATACAACCACCTTGACAGCTAATCTTGTGCTATTTGTGCTCTCAGTCTACCTGACTGCAATTTTTATTGCTCCGCTTTCAGTATATGCATTTGTTAAAGTAGGAGTTCAGTTCGACATTAATTTATTCAAGAAATAGTGGTTTTCAGCTCACAGATGACCTGAACAAGATGGGGGAAAACTTGATTAATAAATCGATAGGTAGCAATAGATGAGAAGTAATGCTGCTAAGGGCCATTGTTTAAACTGGCATGAAGTTTGAACTAGCCTTGAATTATTAACAAAACTCCTTTCTTGTTCACATTGTGGTACTTACATTTCCAAGCTCCTGCCTGAGATTCAGTGTGCCGGACTGGTCTATCTTCAACACACACCCGTCCTTTTGCCCTTCTCTTACATCGTCAGTAAATTTGGCAAATCTAAATTTCTCATCATCGGTCTATGCGTAGATTAACGTACTGACTTGTTCTTAACAAAAGGAGTTTTAGAGCACTGGCCATTCATTTTCCCCAATGTGAGAGAATACGTCTGTGTAAATCTATCAGTTTCACTATGGTCTCCGGAGAAAATATCTTCCTAGTGCCTTTCTCAACATTTGGTTGTCAAATTTTAATATTTTATTAGTTTTAAATATCTTTTGAAGCAGCTCAATCCAGAATAGCATTTGACAGCATTTATATAGACCGAAAATGAGTATGAGCAGCACAATCCAACTATGGCGTATTTGTTTTCTATTTCTCCACAGGATCTATTTTGTATTAACCGCGATCAACAACACCAGCAACCCTCATCCAGTCCTTGCACTCCCCCCATCTATTTGCATAAAGACGGAGTCACAGGACTGGTAACCCGCTTCTCCTCCTCCTCCTGCATGTTTGCAGAAACGCCTCTACTACAAGTACCTACGAGGTCTCCAGAGAAGCATTCTCGTGCCCGTCTACCTGAATCATGGCTCTCACCTGATCGCTGGCGACGCAAGAAACTGTGTTCCTGGGAATTGGAAAGGCTTCAGAGGCTACTGGAACACTCCGCCACAGGGGTTTCTGACGATGGGGTGGCAGTAGTAGCTGGAGGAGATATTGGTGGGAGAGTTTCGTCAGCATCTACCGAGACAACGATCACGACGTCGTCCTCACGTGAAGACTTGGAGGAGAGGCTGTCTGCTCAAATGGCTCAGAGGTTCAGCAAAATGGAACTGTGAGTTCTATTTTTGCCTTCGCTACTCTTAGCAGATTGTTTCCAAACTTGCTAAATTTGCTTTATAATAACGATGTTTTTTGTCCGATATAGGGTAGCTAAAGACTATCACAAAAGTTTTTTGCGAAGTCATTGTTTACTTTGTTTTGTGCTACAGCTCACATCCGCATGTATTTAAATAACTCCATTTTGTCTATGCTGTTTTGGGTGGTAGGAAAATGATTGGATACGGCGGTATGATTGTATAGGTTCATTACGTGCCAGTAATTAAAATCATTTTCAGTTGGAAGTAATTTCTTCATAACTTTTGTTCGAGATCGCTTTCCTTGGAATGGAAATATTTACGGGAATTTGTTAATGTGTATGTCTTATCGATTAGTTGTTTTTAATTTGTAAAGAAGGGGAGAATACTATTCTATTCTATTTTCCAGCGGATAGTTACTCATGAGTGTGAATCTTCTTCCCCGGTGACTGCAATAATGATGAGTAAATATTTGCTAACACACAAAAAGTTTTGTATTGGAGAGTTCTTTGTTCGCTAATTGCTCTTAAATTCTCAGGGCTTGTCTATTGCCTGATAAGTCAATAATGGAGTAGTGAGGAGGAGGTGGTTCCTTTCATAAGCATTTGAGATTTGATGTGATCTGCTATGTTCAAAGTGCCTTCGATAGTTTGTCTTATCCGGAAATGAGTCGAAGTCACTTGAATATCATGGATAGGAACTTGGGGGGGGGGGGGGAATTTCCGAGATAATTAATAGCCCTTTCGAGATAGTGGACAACTTAAAGCGTTTGGAATTTAAATAGTGTTCGGCACTCGACTTCAAGACTTCATTAAGATATTCTAATCAATCCACTTGTTGCCCTCCTTTCGAGAGTATTTTGCTCCATGTGTGCTTACTTACCATGTCGTAGTTATCATTCCTAATTAAAGTCATAGCAACGATAGCAGAGGCTGGGCAGCTTGAGAATGCTCTTGTCAAAGTTCAGTGTTATTGAATCCCAGTGCAAGTACTATTTTAGATGTCTATGTACTTCCGCTGTTTAATTGCTTATAGACTTATTTGGTCTTTTTTTGCTATGTTCCTTTCTCATCGCTCATCCCCTTGTCACTAATGATCTCCCTTGAGACCAATCAGAAAGAAACAATTGATGGGGGGGGGGTAAATTATTTGCGGTTTCGCTCTCATAGCAAGGCAGAGAAGAGTGAAAATCATTAACCAAAATGGAAGGATGTGTAAAAGAGGAGGGTACGGGGGGGGGGAGGAGGAGGGTGAAGTGTGGTGATTGCATTCGGTTTAAGTAAGCAGAGACGAGCGTGTATAATAATGTAACATCAAGTCATTGGAATTACAATGGAATTCGGAAATTATGTTTGACGAGCATCGACGTTATTGTAGACACTTAGTTGTTGGGAGGCCGCGATTTAATCGCTGGGCTTATTTTTGCTCCTAACATACCTTCTCTCTCTCCGCCTCACTCTCGCTCCCTCTTGCTCCCAATTCTGGTGTCATTAAAGTAACGCAGAGCGATCGAGCGAGCGAGCGGGAGAGTAAGAGAGGGAGAGAGAGAGTATATCTTTTACGTGTGGATGGCCGTTGCACTCCATTTACTGCTTTATTGCAATATAAAGTTATGTGTCTCAAATTCCTTCATCAGCACGCGAATACTCTCCACTTACTGCTATTTAGCCTCTCACACATTAGTTGATGGAGAGAAGTATCGCACGCGGCTCGATCTACTTTAAATGCTGCTCTACCTGGGGGAGGGGGGGGGGGGGGGGGGGGGGGGGGGGGTGGGGTGGAGTGGGGCGTTGTTGGTCTTGTTTACTTGCTCTCATGGCTATAACAAGGTCCAAATAATTCGAAGTGCCATAGTCATTAGAGCATTACTCAGTTAATAATATCTTTTATGTGAGCATGGAATGCCCAAATGCTTCCATAATTGAAACACGTAATATTTTTGATGTTCTTGCTTCTCTGCCTACCTATTTTCTTGACAGCCTTCTCCGTTCCATGCTCCCTTAATTCACACTGTTTTGCCCTATAGAGTTTGTTTAGCAGTTGGTGGATTGAAGTAATATACTCTTCAGAGCAATTAAACAGCGCACTCAATTTAACTGCAGTGTAGGGAGATGGACTATGTTTGAAGTCATATTGTACCTCTTGACGTCTTGCTGTTTTCTTGGCTTTAAAAGTTGAAAAAAACGAATTTAAATAGTCTGACCATGAATGCGGTCAAAGAATCATTCAGCACCCCTGGGTCAGACCCTGAAATGTTTGACCATGGGAGAGTTAGAGTATAGATCCTCGAAAGGGCAAAAACTGAATTCGAAACTCAAATTCACTCCATGTGCTTTAATACGCTGATAAATTATTCTCAATTTCCTTTGAACTTTCTTCCCCTCATCCTATTTTTCATTCTCTGGTTTTCAAATTTCGTTGCTTTCTTATACTAGTACCAATAACAAAGCAACACTCGATTATGGGAAAGCGTCACATTGGCCAATTAGGTAGGAGGGAGTTGAGGAGGACCCGTGAATGTTTGATCGCTTAAATCGCATTTTAAACTAATCAGGCTACTTTCTATCCTGAAGTTATTGATTTAACTTGTCGCTCTCTCTCCCTCTCTGATATTTAGAGCTTATTGGCAAGTTTATTGAACTGTCCCAATCAAAATTTTCGATTTCGTTTTTAAGTCACATAATCAATTATTCACCTCTTTTAAACTCACTCTTATATAGGACAGGTTTCTCATTGAGGCTTATGGTCATTGATTTTTTTAATCTGCTTAGATTAATAAGTCAATTTACTTGCAGTTCATACTGAGAATGTAATTTGGACTTTAAGATGTATATCTTTCGAATTGCGGTGCATTGGAGAAAGAGGTCATTACATTTTGCAATTTACCTTTTCTGTATTGTAACAAATTTCCGAATTTTAACTATGCACCTTTTCTTCAAGATGTTTTGGTCACGGAAACACTGCTCTGTTCATAAGAGAATGACTCATATCCTTGAATTAGTTAATTTATAATTTAGTTAACATCAACTGTCGCCTACTCCGCGTATCCACTGTTCTTTGTTTTGATTCACCATTCAAATGCTTGATCTATAGTATTAAATCCTTACTTATTGCCTGGATTAGCTGATTAATTTAAACCCCCTTTTTCAAGTTCATTTTTCTGGTGTAATTTGAATCTGCGTATTTGCCTTTGAAATTCGTTGCGGGACAGGCACTTGTTCAGGCTTTACACTGAAATCTCTAGCGCACTTGGTCAATCTCAATTTTAATCATAAATAGCTTGAACAACAATTAAGTTGAGCGTTATTAAATCCTCACATTTTAAATTTTGATAATTTAGTATGAGTTTGAGTTATGCTTTTTTCACTCTCTTTGTTGCATAGAAAGATCTTTTTTTCTATTTCGCTGGTGGTGTCAACCACTCTGGAATATATTTATTTATTTCAAATTGCAGGCGTTTTGATAGATATCATTAGCCATTTAGCTGACTTCGGTCTTCACAGAGGGAAGGTCCATCAAAGTAGCAGAAAGTCGAGGGGTGGGGAACAGAAGAGCGATTCACAGATGTAAAAGAGGCAAACAGACACAAAGGTAGAGAAAAGGTAGGGTGAGTACTGTGAAGGGGGTCGAATATGACAACCAGGGGGGTCGTGGTAGTTGGAAGTCAGAATTCAAATGCCGGTTAATAGACTTTTTTGCCGTATGAGTATACGTTGCCCAGGGTGCACCACGTGGAAGTAAGTCTATCGCACACCCCACTCTGGAATATATATCAATCGTGAACTGCGTATTTGATTCTTTGGAACTTTAAAATAAACCACTGGACTCCTAGCCAAGTAACTACTTGAATGTACGATACA